CCCGAATCGGCGATCGGGCCGCCCACGCGGTACATTGTTCTCTCCGTCCTTTACATCCTCCTGACCGAGGATTTTCTGGCCCTGCCGGGTCAAGTGCAGGAATTGCGCGGAGACCTGCAGGATTTCAAAGCGGAAACTAGAGAACAATTCCGTGCTGTGAACGAACGTTTGGATGAACAAACCCAACGTCTGGACGGAACCAATCAACGCCTTGATGAACAAACCCAACGTCTGGACGGAACCAATCAACGCCTTGATGAACAAACCCAACGTCTAGACGAAACCAATCGACGCCTTGATGAAAACACCCAACGCTTGGACGGAACCAATCGACGCCTTGATGAAAACATCCGCCTCACTAGGAGCATCCAAGGCTCCGTGGGTGCGTTGCTCGGAGACTCCTACGAGAATCTTTGCCGACGCGAGATCGCCGCAATTTTAGACGGCCGTATGGAACGCGCGGTGCTCGCCGACCGCGAACGCATCAACGAACGCTTAGGAGAGCATCGACACCACGATTTGATCAGTCGGCAGGACTTCTTGGATGGTCTCAGGCCAGACATTATTGCCCGTGCCAAAAGTGACACTTCCGAAAGTGGCCAATTCGCCATCGTAGAAGTGTCGATCACTTTCAACCGGAGCGATCTGGAAATCGCCGCTCGCCGAGCCGGCATAATTTCAAACGTTACCGGTGTCCCTGCCAATGCCTTCGTCGTAACGCATCACCACTGGCCGGACGAAATGGACGAAGTCGCCGCGCAATTGGGGGTAACGATCATACGCCACGAGGCGCCGCAATACGCCGATGTTTAGGGGCTGCACTCAGGCAGCCCCCCATTTGCCACGGTCGCGGCGATTCCCGTCTCACGCCGGTTCCCCCGTCAAGTCGCTCACCCTCGGCGCAACCTCCTCAGCGATCAGCCGCAGGCAGTCCATCTCCCACTGGTGGTCGTCGGGGTCCTGCGTGATGCACAACAGGTGTCCGAAACCGCCCACGCCATCGTAGAGCTGCCGGATGCGTTGGGCGCACTCGTCTGGGTCGCCGACGATCCAGATGTTCTCCATCATGTAGTCGACGGTCAGGTCGTCGTCGCTCATGTTGGGATCGATCTTCGTGGCCTGGATCAGCCTGATCCCAGTCGGTTCGGCAACTGGTGCTGGAGGTAGTTTCGGCCCAGCACCGCGTGGGCCCGCTCGCGGGCTTCGTCGCTGGTCTCTGCCACGAACACGTCCCGCCCGATGCGCCAGTCGGACCGGTGAGCCTCGCGGCCGGCTTCGGCCGCGGCGTCCTCCACGGTGGTCCAATGGTCAGCCAGGTACTGCGGAGCCAGGTTGCTGCTGCTCATCGGGATGTAGCCCTCGCGCCCGGCCAGGCGGATACTGCTGCTCCCAATGGACGTGGCGGCCACCCCGATGGGAGGATGTGGTTGCTGCAACGGCTTCATGTGCAGCCCACGCTCCAGTACCGGGTCAAGTTCCGGCGCCTCGATGTCGAAGAACTCCCCGTGATACGAGAACTGTCCCTCCGACGCCCACAGGCTCAGCACCACGTCCAGCACCTCGGCCGCCCGCCGTCGCACGTCGTCGCCCTGGCTCGGGTCCATGCCGAACAGTTGCAGGTCGGTGGGGATCGCCCGATGCCCGATGCCCCAGTAGAGCCGCCCACGGGTCAGGTGGTCCAGCATGGCGATCCGGTGCGCCAGTTCGATGGGATTGTGGATGGGCAGCAACGTTACACCAGTCGCCAGCCGGATGTTCTTCGTCAGCGCCGACGCCTTGGCAATCAGCAGGTCGGGGAACGGCGCGTTCTCCCAACGCTCGGTGAGATGCTCGCCGATCCATGCCTCGTGAAATCCCAGACGGTCGGCCTCCTGCAGCAGGTCGAGATCGCGGTCATAGGAATCGGCATAGGAACGGTGCGGCGGATGCAAAGGCATCATGAACAGGCCGAATTGCATGGGTTAACTCCTTGCTCGCGGTAGTCGCCAGAATAACCCACGCGTACACTGCGCAACGCGAACTACGCACAACGTCTGACGGATATCGGAAAGTTCGCGTTCCACGAATCGATATTGAACACGCCGCATCGCTAGACAATCGGTGCGGTCCAGCTCAGCTCGAGTCGGTAGGCCCAACGGCAGAATGCGCTCAAGGCGTCTGCCGGCGCACAACTCAGGGCTCAAAGTCATCATGGCATAAGCCACAGTAGTCATAGGCTTGTCCGCCGGCCTGCGCCCATTCGTATAGAAAAGTTCGCGGAGTTATACTTCGAGTCATTCGTCGACGTGCGACATCTCGCAGGCTTTACGAATTCCGCTGCGACGTTGCGGATCGGTATCTCGCGGCTCAGGGTCCTTGAACTCGATGAAATATGTAGCGAGTCGGTGAAGTCAATGATGAAGTCCACCGCTTTCATGCAATGACTGAGCCCATGCTGTCGTCGTCGAAACTTGCGGACGCTTATGCTGCACGGTGATGAGATTCTCAGGACCGCCCTCCGTTAGCGTCGCTCATCCAGACCCGCCCAGACTACGCTCGATTTGACGATCGTAAAGGTCGTCGAACGCTTCGCCAATTGCATTGGGGTGAATGTCCAGAGTACTGCCCCTGGTGGAGCGGCACGCGATCTCGCCAGCTCATCCCGATACAGCGAGTGGAACGCCACCTGGTCCTCCTCCGTCATCTGCAGATCAAGCTCTTTGAGAATCACGTAATCATGGGTCGCGAAGAACACCTGCACCCCCGCCCGCTGCAACCCCAGCAGAACCTCGATCACCACCCGGAACATCTTGGGGTTCAGGTTGGCCTCTGGCTCATCCCAGAAAAGCACCGAGCCATCTCGCAGCGTTCCATTCCGTATCAGAAGCCAAAGCAACCCCAACTTGCGCCAACCCTCGCAAGCAGGGTGAACTCATGTCACCCTCTGTCGTTGCTCGGAAGAACTCCTCGCCGCTGACCGTAACTTTGCCCCCAATGCACGTTCTCCAGCTTTCAGCATCCTGCGTGTGGCATCATCGGCGTTCGCGTAAGCAGGAAGATATGCGCGGAGCATAATATCATGATAAACCTCTTCGAAATGAAGCTCCCGAGTCGATACAAGGAGAGAAAACCGGGTGCGTTGGCCAGCACCTCTTTCACGGAATGTAGCTGACTCGATCGCCGCGTCTGACAGTTCGGCCGGCACGACGTGTGCACCGACCCTGGCCAAAAGTCCCGAAGGCAGGTCAATCTTGCCGTGCCCAACGCAATGAACTTCGAGCTATGCTTCCACTCATACCTCTGTGAGCCAATCGGTAGCCATCGCGCGCGACGAGAAGGAAGAGAAATACTCGAACGCTTGGCGCAAGATCGTCACCGGGTCTGACACAGCGCACGCCGCATAGACACGCCTTCATCAGGTGCGTCTTCCCCGTCCCGTTCGCGCCGATCAGCGCGTTGATGCCGGGCGAGAACTCCACCTCCAGTCCTTGAACGCGGTGTGAAAGTGTTGCAGTTTTATCTTGGTGACCGTCATTATGCTTCCCCGTCTCGCTGGTGTGCCGATTCGATGCTAGACCTGCTGGCCGGCCACTGTCAAACACGCCGGGAAACGCACTACCCCCAATGTATAATCTATCCAACGATCCCTTTAGCGACCCAAAGGTGCTCTAGCCATGCCCCTCTTCAAACGCCGCCCCGGCATCGCCGTCGTCGAAATGCACGGCGTCATCGGCGCCGCCATTCGCGAGCCCGACTACTCACGCATCCTGGAACGCGTCGCCAACAACCGCAAGATCGGCGCCCTGGTGCTCGACATCGACTCTCCCGGCGGATCCGCCACCGCCAGCGACCTGCTCTACGAAGCCGTCCGCCGCGTCGCGCAACGCAAGCCCGTTGTCGCCTACATCCGTGGCCTGGGCGCTTCGGGAGGATACTACATCGCCTGCGGAGCTGGCACGATCATGGCCTCCCGTGCGGCCCTCGTGGGCTCCATCGGCGTGATCTACATGCGACCCATCTTGCAACAGTTGCTGAACAAGGTGGGCGTCGAAATCTCCATCTTCAAGGGCGGGCACCTCAAGGATATGTCGGGCTTCTGGCGCCATCCCACCGACGAGGAGACCGGCAAGTTCCAGGACCTGATCGCGGAGATCTACTCCCTGTTCGTATCCGTAGTCGCCGACAGCCGCAACATGACCACTGAAGAGACCACCGAACTCGCCACCGGTGAGCTGTACACTGCGCCGTCTGCCCGCGACCGGCGACCTCATCGACCCGCCTGGGCAACCTCGACGACGCGGTCGCCGAGGCGATGCGGCAGAGCGGCGCCCGTCACAAGATCAGGAGGTTCCGGCCGAAGCGTCCGTTCATGGAGCGGTTGACCCCCTTCCGCGGGACCAGCACTCAGTGGCGTGCTCTGTCCGGCTTGGCCTCGATGGCTGCCGGCGGGATGTACATGCTGGAACCCGGTTTCCTGGGGTATGCCCTGACCCACACCGGCGACGACTGACCTGCCCGCCTCTACCGTTCGGCCGCCTTGGCCTCCTGCCACAGCGCTTCCTTGCCGTCCAGGGGCAGCGCGACAAAGTCCTGCTCCCGTTCCGACGCCAGGCGTTCCATCGCCTTATAGCGATTCCGGAACTTGCCGTTGGCCTGCCTTAGCGCGTCCTCCGCGTGTATCCCGGACCAGCGGGCCAGGTTCACCAGCGCGAACAGCACGTCCCCGAACTCGTCGATCTTGTCCTCGGGTGTGCCAGCCTCCCGGAATTCTGCAATCTCTTCGACCAGCTTGTCCAACACCCCACCCACGTCGCCCCAGTCGAACCCGAATCGGGCGGCGCGATCCTGCATCAGTTGCGCCGCGGTGAGCGCCGGCAGCGCCGCCGGCACGCCGTCCATGGCAGACGGCTCCGGCTTGCCAGCTTCCCGTCTTTCTTCCGCTTTCAGTTGCTCCCAGTTCCCGCTCCACCTGCCGTGCGTCAGACGCGGCGCCATCGGCGAAGACGTGGGGGTGCCGCCCGGATGAGCTTGCGGTTGATGGCCGTCAGTACGTCGGCGATGTCGAACTCACCGGCCTCGCGGGCGATGTCGGCGTGAAATGCCACCTGCACCAGGATGTCGCCCAGTTCCTCCGCCAACTCCTGCGGCTCGCCCTCGTCGATCGCCTCCAGCGTTTCGTAGCATTCTTCCAGCAGGTTGCGCTTCAGCGATTCGTGGGTCTGCTCGGCGTCCCACGGGCAGCCGCCTGGCGCCCGCAGGCGCGCCACAACATCGATCAGGGACTGGAACTCCCCAATGCGCTCTTCAGGTATCGGCGAATTCATCGGAGATGTACTCATGTTCTGCATAGCGATGCTAGTATATCCCAGTCCCTTGCTTCATGCCTTTCGCCGTCCATTTGATCATCCTGCGTCTCTTCCGGTAATCTGTTACCGTCTGAGCCCGCCATCGGAGGCTTGCCATGGCAACGAAACCCATCGCTACCGGAACACGCATATCCGTCGCTGAGTTCCTGGACATTCCCGACGCCGGGGACCGGCGCAAAATGGAACTGGACGACGGACAACTGTACATCATGCCCAGAGCCCGAATCGTCCACCAGTTCTTGATGGCCCAGTTGTTTTTGCACATTGCCAACTACATCGATAGCTTCACGCAGCCTCCGGCTGCGGTCTATGTTGACCCCGTCACCGTCTTCTCGAGGGAGCCCGCGCTATATCCTGGTGCCCGACCTGGCAATTGATCCTCTCGGGACGGCCTAATCTCATCGTGGGAGATACCGAGGTATAACCTGACGTTCCGGTGGTGGAATCTTTCGCGCGACCGCAACCGTGACTCGTTCGCAACGACAGATTATGCGGAGCCTGGGTGGTTTCCGAATACTGGATATTTGATCCCCGCGACAGACACTGCCACTTGCCCTTTTGTTGAACTCCGAGAAGCGACTACTCTTCAAGAGGCCTAGCGGACGTACCTCCGACACTCTGACGACCCCCTGCTGCCGCTCGCTGTTCCATTGGCCGAAGGTGTTCCGGCATCGCCAGCGCCCGTTGATGACTAACCGGCGCTCCGTCCGCCGCTGCTGCGCTGGCGCTGCTCAGTTCTGGCCATCCCCGCGTTCTTCTCTTCCTGGTTGCCGGCTCCGTGGCGTGGGACCGTCAACGTTCCGACTCTACCCGCAAACGGTTTCCAACGCTATCAAACCTCCCACCGGTCCGGTATCTCCGACGCCGACCTGATAAACATCGGCTCCGAACTCCGCCGGTTACTTCAACACCTCCGTAGAACCCCTGGCGGTTCAGCACCATCTACGTGTCTCGAGCAGGCGGTTGTGCAACCAGCGCGAATCGCCCACCTCATGTACGACGACGTCAAGCGCCTGGTCCGCGGTACCTACTTGGTGGCGCTGGGCTCTGCGCTGTGGATACTGTCCACGATGGTCTCGTGATCGGCAGGGACCGGAGCGCATGGTTCTGCACGGCATTACGTTGGCGAGCCCGGGGTGGCTCCGTAACTTGATGCATCGTCTTCGCGTCGGTCTGGCAGCCCTCGCCAGCTTCGAGCAAATGTTTCTGCTCTTCCACGCTTGAGTTCGCCAACGACCGCTGGATACTCGATCCGCACGCACGACTCCCTGCATCATCTCTACCGCCGGCTTCTGGTTCGACGTCCACCATGCGTTCGTGCCCTCGACCTCGGTGCTAGGCGGTGCTGCTGCCTGTCCGCCGGCGTCGCCGTGCTGCACGGTTAGCGCCGTTGTGACGCGTACCGGCGACGCGACCCGTTCGCGCCCGCCCGCCGACCCGTCGACGGTTGTAGCGCGTCGGGATCACTTCGTGTGGTAAAGCTTCACTACCGAATGTGGTTCATGCAGGGGAGCCGTCCCATGCAAGGCTACTCCACCCGCCAACGACCCTGCACAGTTCGTGCCAGGCGGGCGGCGCGCGCTCCCGGTCCATCGCAACGGTTCCGGCTGCGGTCTCGGCTCAGGGGCCGGCACGTCAGCCGGATCGTGGCGAGATGCGGTAGTTTTAGAGCAATGCGTCTTCCATTGGTCGGTCAACGCCGCCATCAGGTTGCCCCGCCCCCGCACCTTGACGTCCCAAGTCGCCAGGTCTGCGGAATATCCGCCAGGTGGCCGTATCGGTCAGCACCGTGCGGTGGAACGCGGCGCCCAACGGGTATGCCGGGGATCCGTCGTCTGCGAGTCGGCCACCAGCGCCAGGTGAGTCCGCGATGGCGGAAGGCGGGACGCCCAAACTTGCCCACCACGCCGTCCTCGTCGATGACCTCCCCTTCGCGCGGTCCAGCATCACCCACCCGCTGCCCGACACCACCTGCGCACATATCTGTCGGGGAGCACATCACCACCTGCTCCACATCGGGGATCGTTGCGAACCGCACGCGGCTAGGTTGCGATGGCAAGTCGTCCGCCTCGAACCCTCAATCGGCCAGACGGTGATGCCCAAAGCGCGCGGTGATCTGCTCGGCCAAGGGGAACTGCGCCAGCAGGTCCGGCTCCACGCCGTCGCCCGTCTTGTAGCCGTCGAACAATCGTGCGGAAGGAGCGGATCACGCTGTCAAAACGCCGCCGCGATGTGCGTTACATCAGGCTGGCCGAGCAACGCGATCAGTGACTGCGCCAGCCCGTGGGTCGCCTTGATGTCCCGTCCGTCGGGAGTGGCGCGCCCGGGGCGCGGCGAGTAGTGAGCCCGAAACAGTTCGAAAGTTCCGTCGACGAGATGGACTTTCATGTTCTCTCGCCGTATTACTCCGCAGCCGTTTCGTGCAGTGAGAAGATCCTTCGTCGCACCTCAACACACAAACCCGGTCATCACCGGATCGCCGCTGACGGTCTCGGGTCTTCCAGCACCTCGATCTCGACATCAGGTCGATATACGTGCACCCGCCGGTGGTACGGGTCGATCAGCCATCCCAACTGCGCCCCGTTCGCGATGTAGCGCTCCATCTTGCGCTGCAACGGCGGCAGGGTATCCGTGCCCGACATTATCTCCGCCACGAACGCAGGGCAAACGGTGATGGCCCGGGATGAAATCGGACCCAGCAATACGAGTTGCTCCGGAGAAAGCCAGGACGCGTCCGGCTCCGTGCGCGTTCCATCCGGCAAGCGGACGATTGTGCGGGAACTGAAAGTCATTCCGCCATTTTCCCTTGCCCAGACAGTCACATCCGTGACGGCTTCCACTTCTGCATTGCCGCTATCCATGTTGACCATCGGATGTACTGTTAACTCCCCTTCGGCGGTCATCTCCAGATAAAATCCCCGCCCCTCGTTGGCACGCGCGAAACCCACGAACCACTGGTCAATCTCGTCGTCGGTCAGCTTGCCGGCCACCGATTCCAGAATGGGCTGGATGTTGATGGACAAGGGCCGTTTCAACTCAACGCCCTCGTCTGTCTCGACGACTGTGGGATCCGTTATGGTCGGAGACGTGGCCATCGTGGCTGCCCCGGCATCCTAGTCCAAATACCGGTAGCCCGGCAGCGTCAGGAATTCAACGAACTGGTCGGAGAGCACGATTTCGTCCAACAGTTCCACCGCCTTGTCCAACGCGCCGGGATTGTCCTGCCCCCGCTGCTCTACCAGCGCCGCCGCCTCCTGCGCCCGCACCTGGCGATACAGCTGGGTGGTGATGGGCCGGCCATCATCCAGGGCGGCGCCATGCTGCAGCCACTGCCACAACTGGGACCGTGAGATCTCGGCGGTGGCGGCATCTTCCATCAACCCGTAGATGGCAACCGCGCCATTACCGCGAGTCCACGCGTCAATGTACTGCAACGCCACGCTGACGTTGTTCCGCAGGCCGGCCTCGGTTATCTGCCCTTCCGGGACCGCCAGCAGGTCGTCCGGAGCGATCCGCACTTCGGGGATCACCGACAGTTGGTTGTCGGTCGTGAACGCCGACTGGAACACGTCCAGCACCGGCTCGACCAACCCGGGGTGGGCGATCCAAGCCCCGTCAAAGCCCTGGTCGGCCTCCCGCTGCTTGTCCGATTTCACCTGGGCGAAGGCTGCTTCGTTGGCCGCCGCATCGTCCCGGCGCGGAATGAACGCCGACATGCCGCCCAACGCGTGCGCGCCCCGGCGGTGACAGGTGTTGACCAGCAAATGCGCCGCCGACGTCAGGAAGTGCGTCGCCATCGTCACCTGCGCCCGGTCGGGGAACACCATATCGCTGCGCCCATTGAACACCTTGATCACGCTGAAGATGTAGTCCCAACGGCCCAGGTTTAGGCCGGCCGGCCGCTCCCGCAACTCGTACAGGATCTCCTCCATCTCGAACGCCGCCAGGATGTGCTCAATCAGGACCGTCGGGCTGATCGTTCCGGTCGGGATGCCCAAACGTTCCTCGGCGTATCTGAAAACGTCGTTCCAGAGCCGCGCCTCCAGGTACGACTGCAACTTGGGCAGGTAATAGTAAGGGCCGGTTCCGTGGCTCTGCTGCGCCACGTGGTTATGAAAGACCGTCAGGCCGAAGTCGAAGAAACTGCCGGCCACGGGCTCGCCGTCCACCAACACGTGCCGCTCCATCAGGTGCAGCCCCCGGGGCCGCACGCACAGGGTGGCGATGTTTTCGTTCAGGCGATACTGCCTCCCGTCTGCCGCTTCGTCGCTGATGATGCGTCGGTAGGCGTCGCGCACGTTCGTCTGGCCGTCAAGCGTGGGCAGCCACGCCGGCGAGTGCGCGTCCTCGAAATCGGTCATGTAGACCTGCGCCCCGCAGTTCAGCGCGTTGATCACCATGCGCCGGTTGGAGGATGGGCCGGTGATCTCCACCCGCCGGTTGGTGAGGTCGGCGGGCGCAGGTTGCACGCGCCAGTCCCCTTCGCGGACGCTCCGGGTTTCTGCAAGGAAGTCCGGCGTCGCGCCGCCGTCTATTTCCGCCTGCCGGCGGACGCGAGCCTGCATCAGCCGCCGCCGGGTGGTCTCGAAGTTGCGATGCAACTCGGCCACGAATTCCAGCGCGTCATCGCTCAAAACGTCCGTGTATTGTGGCGGCACGGCGCCAAGTATTTGGATGTTGTCACTTGCCATGGTTACTCGCCCCGATTCGACTGTTTCAAGCGTCTACTCACTGTCTGCGGCAGGGTCCACGGGATCGGGTGCTGCGGATACCGGGTAACGGCCGTGGCCGTGGTAGTGGAACGCCAGGAGTAGCAGCAACCTACCCCGCCCGCAGCCCCAGCCCAGCCAGGCTTTGCCGTCCAGCATCGCTTATGGACAACCCATTCGCCAATCCGGCATCGAGCTTCCGCTGTATCTCCCCCAGTTGGTACGACACTGGGCGCATCCCCTCGGCGCGGTGTGCGGCCGCTTCCGACAGGGTCTCGTACGCCTGGTCCAACGACCAGTAGAACGAAAGCAGCCAGGACAGTTCACGCTCGTTGACCGGCGCGGGGCATCGGTGATGTCCAGGATGGTGTTCACCACCTTGGTGTACCGCAGAATGCCCGCCTTGTCCTGTTGGTCCCGGCCGTAATATCGTCGTCGCATCAGCTCAACCACACGCTCGGCGTAGTCTTCCTCCCCATAGATGTTGACCGGCAGCCACCCCTGGCGCAGGTCAACCACCTCGTTGCCGTCCGCATCCAAGATGGCCACGGCCACGTCCGAGCGAAGCATGCCGTCGTACTCGAACTTGACCGCGTTCCGCAACAACGCTTCCTGCAGCATCATCGTCAGCTCTCGGGGGATCTTCCGGTAACGTGAACCGGATGCCTCCTCGTTGCTGTCCGCGCCCACGCCGCCGGTGTTGAAGGCGTAATACTCCTGGGGCATGCCGCCCCAGGCCAACTGCTGCAGCACGTGGTACAACAGGTTGGCGTTCTCATCCTCCAGGCCGATGATGAACGGGTCCGAGAAATACTCGACGTACGGCCGGCCGATGGCGCCGATCGCCGCTCCCATCTGCACCGCCTCGCCGTACATCAGCACCCGGATGTACTGCTCCAGGCTCAGCCGCGCAGCGGCGGTATCACGGTGTTCTGCCGCATCACCTCCTGCCAGAACACCCGGTCCGTGTTTTCCATGGGCACGTGCACGGAATCGTTCAACCGGCCACCGGTGATCTTCGAAATGATTCCCGCCGCGCCCTTGCGCTGCAAAAGGCCGCGCCGCGACAGGATCATCCGCATGTTGCGGACCGGGTTTTCCAGGTAGTTGGGTTCCTGGCTGTCCACGTGAACCGGCACGTTTTCCAGCGTCTCGTCGGGGGAAGTGACCCCCGGCGCACCCCGCAACACGTCATAGGTGATGGGATCGTCATCCCGCGTCAGGCCGAAGGGCACGGCGTAGAAGTTGTTCTCGGTGCCGTCGATGGCGTGGGAGATCATCGCGCGCCGCCCGCCCGTTGCTCGGGACGGGATCATCCAGCGGTTGCAGCAGCACGATGTCGTCGTTCATCGGGTAGACCCCTTCCTCGGGGTCGGTTTTCAGCTCCAGCACTCCGGCCAACTCGCTGTTAGCCAGCTCCACCATGATCGTCAGCGTGCTCTTGCCGTGCAGCGACGGACCCACGGTAACCAGCGCCGTATTGGATATGTCCCCGTCCAGCTTGCGCACGCGCGCGCCATGCTCAGCGCCGCCTGTACTGCCAGGCCGTTTTTCTGCTTAACCTGGTGCATGGCGATGGACAGCGGCCCCATCTTGTGCTCGCCCACGTAGTCAAACCCGAAGTGCAGCGAGAGACCGCGCGTGGGCGCCTTGAACACCAGTTGCGTGATGCCAGCCTCCCCGCAACTGGGTTTTCAGATCGTCCTCCAGTCCCAGGTCGTCCATCCAGTGGGGCACCGACACCTCCAGGATGTCCGGCGCTTCCTGCCACTGCTCTTGGGGGCAGGTCGAAGGTGAGCCTGCGCCACATGTAGGGCGCCTGCATGTATCGTGTCCCGAACAGCAGTTGCCGCGCATGAAAAGACCGACCTGGCGCGTCGCAAATCTGCCGGTCGGTCTGCACGATGCCCTCTCCGCTGGCGAAGTGGGCCTCCATCTTCTCGCAAACTCGGTCAAATACCATCGGTGAACAGTCGCTGGTTATCCTCCGAGAACGCTAGGGCGTCCCGATTGCGGGTGAACCCTTCGACGAAGTACTGCGTCAGGTCGGGCCGGCGCACCACGCCCAATTGGCTGAAGAACGCCAGTCCCCCATTATCCAGCCGGAACACCGTCTCGGGCCACACCTTGCTGGACGCGCGGCCGGCCGCGTTGGCTTCCGCTGCCTCCGATTCCAGCGCCTGCGCTTCGGCCAGCAACTCAGACTGTTGTTGGGCTGGAAGATCCTGGAAGATCGGCATCCTGGCGACAATCCACTCTTCCGACGGATTGTATAAAGGGCTGTCCACACGCTGGCCTCTCCGCGCTATCGCGCACAGCCGCGTCAGCGCCGCCTCAAAATCAGGGACAATTTCGGGTCCGGACAGCGGCGACTTGGCATCGGGCCGGTCGGCGGTATTAGCGGTAGGGCTAGTCAAGGTATTTCTCCCAGGAAACGGAGTGCAAGCGCGTGGGCCGCAGCAGTCGCCAGCCGCCTTCCAGCGCATCAGATCGATAACACGTGGCCGGTGGCAGTCTGGTTAGACGAAGGCATTAGGTTGCACAATCACAAGGCCCGCCGGCGCCATCAAATATGAGCAGAAATACTGCGAGAATATGCTACCCGAACCGCCCCCAGTGTCAAAAACCCGGCGCGCAATTTCGCGCGTTTTTGTGCTGGTTTCCAGCGGCGATGCTACAATCGTCACCCGCTGCGCAATCGCGCCGGACCAATGGTTGGCATGGACGCATTCAACAGTCGGTTCCGCCGGTTTCGCCGCTTGGCACGCGATCTGCTGGTTGTCGTGGCCGCGATCACGGCGGTTGTTGCTATTGTCTTTCTGCTCAACCTATGGCTGACCGACCCCGACCGCACCAACGCTGACATCGGAAGGATTAGCGACATCGTTGGCATCGTCCAACTGTCTGCCGCCGCCGTCATCATCGTCGCCGGCGGAGTATTCGCTTACCGGAAGCTGCAACTATTCCGCGACTTCGAGCCGCACTTGACGGTTACCCAATCGGCCACGCACCGCACCGTCGGCACGCAGTATGTTCACGTCGCCGTAACCGCCACCTTGCATAATAGCTCCAAGGTCAGGGTGGAGATACGCGAAAGTTTCTTCAGGCTGCACCAGATCCAGCCCTTGAACGACGAATATATCGAGGCCCTTTACGCGGCGGCGTTCAACTCCGAAACACACACGGATATCGACTGGCCAGTTCTGGACGAAGCGTTTCATCGCCTGGGGCCCAATGAGTTGGTTATTGAGCCGGGAGAGTACCATCACGAACCTTGTGAGTTCATCATATCCAGAGATGTTGAAACTGTTCTAATATATTCTTACTTCTACAACCCTGATCATTTTAGACACTCACGTTCTGCTCAAGGATGGACTGCCACAACAGTCTATGATATGGTGAAAACAGGTTGCTGAGAGGCAGTATCTAAGTAGAGGAAGATCATGCCAACTGACAACAAACAACCTGAAATCCGCGGCCGGCGCGTCAGACTGATCGAAGGCACCGCCCCACGCCTGGCATCCCCCAAGGTGTGGGCTCCAAACAAACCCCCCGGCGGCAAGATGCCTCCGCAGGCCAAGCCTGCTGCCGAACCGTAACTCCGGAAAACCGTTTGCGCTGGACTGGCAGCATGGTGCGCCGTGCTGCCCTTTTGCGTTGGCTCACGAAAGCGCGCAACACTGGTGGTTCAGCAACCCTGGAACCGGCAGTTCCGCCGCGACGCACGGTGGCAGAACCCTTCCGTCTTGGCTGCACCAGGCCACGAATTCATCGCATATAGGTGCTCGGCGTAGTGGCAAAAGGATACAATAGCCTGTTGTGGTCCATCATACGGAACTCGCACAGCTCGCTTCGAACTGAACATCCATAAACCTTCTCAGGAGGTGCTGCCGTGGCTGATAGCATCGATACCACCGCCTCCCCATCGGCGACATCTTGACCAGCAGACCGACCGCTTCCCCGACCGCGACGCCCTGGTCCACACTGCCACCGGCGCACGGTTCAACTACCGCGAGTTTCATGCCGAGGTGGAACGCGTGGCCCGCGGCCTCCTGTCCATCGGCATCGCGAAGGGCGAGCAGTCGGCATCTGGGCCACAACTACACCGAGTGGGTGCTCGCCCAGTTCGCCACCGCCAAGGTCGGCGCCGTGCTGGTCACCGTCAACCGGCCTACCGCACTCATGAACTGGCCTACGTCCTCGAACAGGCGCAGATTGGCGCCCTCATCCTGATCGGCCGGTTCCGCTCCTCCGACTACGCGGGCATGGTCAACGAACTCGTCCCAGAGCTGGCCGATACCGCGCCCGGCGAGATCAACTCCGCCCGCTTCCCTCACCTGCGCCACGCGATATTCATACCGCCTCACGATGATCCTTCGGCTGCCACACCCTCTGGCATGTGGCGCTGGAGCGATCTGCTCGACCGCGCCGGCCAGGCCGGCGAGCGGACCTCCGCGCCCGCCAGTCCCAGTGCGACCCCGACGACGTCATCAACATCCAGTACACCTCCGGCACCACCGGCAACCCCAAGGGCGCGATGCTCACCCACCACAACCTGGTCGCCAACGCCCTCCACGTCGGCGACGCCATGGAGATGGACGAGCGCGACCGCCTCTGCATCCCGGTGCCCTTCTATCACTGCTTCGGATGCGTCATGGGCAGCCTCAACTCCGTCGTGCACGGCTCCACCATGGTCATCCCCGCCGAGCACTTCGATCCCCTCCAGACCCTGCGCGCCATATCCACCGAGCGCTGCACCGCCGTCCACGGTGTGCCCACCATGTTCATCGCCCAGCTCGGCCATCCCGACTTCGCCGACTTCGACCTCGGCTCCCTGCGCACCGGCATCATGGCCGGCTCTCCGTGCCCCATCGAGGTGATGCGCGAGGTCATCGACCGCATGGGCGCCGACCGCATCACCATCGCCTACGGCCAGACCGAGGCCTCGCCGGTCATCACCCAGACCCTCGCCGACGACAGCATCGAGCGCCGCGTCTCCACCGTGGGCAAGGTCCTGCCCAACGTGGAGGTCGCCTGGTTGACCCGACAGCACTCAGATGGTCGGCTCGGCCAGCAGGGCGAGCTCCAGACCCGCAGCAGCATGGTGATGAAGGGCTACTTCAACATGCCCGAGGCTACCGCCGACGCCATCGACGCCGCCGGCTGGCTGCACACCGGCGACCTCGCCACCGTCGATGAGGACGGCTATTACAAGATCACCGGCCGCCTCAAGGACATGATCATCCGTGGCGGTGAGAACGTCTACCCCCGCGAGATCGAGGAATTCCTGTACACCCACCCGGAGATCGACGATGTGCAGGTTATCGGCGTGCCCGACCAGCGGTTCGGCGAGGAAGTCATGGCCTGGGTCCGCCTCAAGCCCGATGCCGACGTCACCGAAGAATCAATCCGCGACTTCTGCCGTGGCAAGATCGCGCACTACAAGGTCCCCCGCTACGTCAAACTCGCCGACGAGTTCCCCATGACCGTAACCGGCAAGGTCCAGAAGTTCCGCATGCGCGAAATGGCGGTGGAAGAGCTGGGCCTCCAAACCGCCGCCAGCGTCCAAACCGCCTGATACGTACCCCTCCCAGTGCTCGGGTCATAGCCATCAACGTCCGCATGTCCGTACACAAGTGCAATACGGTCCGTACAGCAACGCAATACAATAGTCAGCAAGAAAACGCACAAAGGACGCGCCGCATGACCACCACTACGGACTACCGAGCCGGCAGCCGGGCCATGATGACCCAGAGCCGGACCGAACTGGCCCAAGGCGATCTGCAGCAGGCATCCGAGAAGGGCTGGGGAGCCGCCGCCCAGATGATGAAGGCCGTCGCCGAAGCGCGCGGGTGGCAGCACGGGCGGCATCGCCACCTGCACCAGACCGCAAGCCGCCTGAGAGCCGAGACCGGCGACCGCGACATCTATCGACATTTCCAGATAGCCGGCAGTCTCCACGAGAACTTCTACGAGAACCAGATGGCGGCCCAGGACATTGACGAAGCACTGCAGGATGTCGAACGCCTGCTGGAAAAACTCGAAGCCGTCCTGGCGACCTGACACGCCATGAAGTCGCACGTGCGGGTGAACACGACAGCAGATCGACGACGTGCAGGTCATCGGCGTGCCCGACCAGCGCTTCGGCGAGGAAGTCATGGCGTGGGTCCGCCTCAAGCCCGACGCCGACGCCACTGAAGAATCAATCCGCGATTTCTGCCGCGGCAAGATCGCCCACTATAAGGTCCCCCGCTACGTCAAACTTGCCGACGAGTTCCCCATGACCGTAACCCGGTAAGGTCCAGAAGTTCCGCATTCGCGAAATGGCAGTGGCAGAGCTGGGCTTGCACGCAGCCGCCAGCGTCCAAACCGCATAGTCCAGTCACCTTCGTGTTACAACTACCGCTATCGTGAGCGCCGCGTAGCAATAGAGTTGGAGCCGGCGGTGGAAGACGTTCTTTAGCAACCACAGCCCGCGGCATCGTCCGCCGTCGCCGACTTAGCTCCTGATAGTCTGCCCAGCGAAGCCAATAACGCTCGCGCTTGAGTTGGCTCCCGTAGTTCAATCACCCGCAGATGCGGGAAGTCCCCGTCGTCGAAAATCCGCCGGTACTCCCGCCATACCCGCCGGTGGCTGGTCACTGCCCACAGGATGATCGAGTCCCGGCTGAGGAAGGACTTCCTGAAACTTTCCCGGTTGCCCGAGAACAGCTCTTCCCGCGTTATCGCCCGTCTGATCGTACGGCACAGGCAGCGCCACAGCACCACGCGGAAGGGATAGTTGAGCCAGACGACGGCGGTGGCCCGTCCCCAGACAATGTCTCGCACGGCGCTGTAGTTGCCATCCATAACCCACCGCTTTCCCTCCGCAGCATCGCCAGCCATCTGACGGACTTCGTCCACCGGCCGCTCCTGCCACCCCGGCTTCCAGTGGATGGCGTCGAGCTCAACGTGCGGCGATCCCAAAACTAGTGACAACTGCCGCGCCAGCGTCGTCTTGCCGGAGCAGCTAGTCCCCACCACTACTACCCGCTCCATCGTAGGGCGCGTATCCTTATCCGTAATCATGCTGTCAGCATCCCGTCACATCGCGTCTCCGCCGCTGCGGAATACGGTTGATGCCGAAACCGCAGTGTGCATCCGGTTGGGTTTCTCCACAGCCACTGGTAGTACTTGCCGGTACCATTTACGCTTGGGTGCGATTTCCGCCTACAGCCAAAGAATGGCTGAGTTCGCGAAATCTCACGGACATCTGTGGTTGGCGTTCCATGCGTAGGCTTTTGTTTCCCGTTGCGTTTCTCTTCACGATTGTTGTTGGTCTCGTTGGCCTGTTCCTATTGCCCTGGGTTCCGAACGATACAGTGACTGAAACGATTGGGGTATTTTCTGGGGTCTTGCTCGGTACCGGTTTGGGTGTGGGACTGAACGAGTTGAAAACAACGCTCGAACGGTTGTGGGTGTTGGGATTAGTGCTGGTAGTAGGCGTATTGTTGACCGTGATTGCGGTAGCCCTCCAGGCCCAGTCCCCAATTGCGCAATGGCTCGACGCTCAAATTGAACGACAGATCGGCTACTACTTTGCAGCAGGTGGTGTCCTTTTGGGAGTAGGGTTGAGCGCGATTTTGGCTCAACTCAAAACGCTGTCGAGCAAAGCTATGTCGGGCGAGCGGAATGACCAACGGTGAATGGGAGACACTGACCAGCCCTATCAAGGCCGCCGGCATGGGTCGTTCTCCTCCTAGCGATGACTGACTGGGAGTACTCGAGATCCCGCCACCCTAGCCGTATCCCGCCCTGTAATCTACAATGGACGAACTATCCGTACTCGGCGCATCGCTACTGACACTACCTGCGCCGTCACCCGTCAGGAGGAACCCGTTTTGAAGGTTAAAGCTGCCGTAATGTGGGAAGTTGGTCAGCCTCTCGATATCCGTGAGGTCGATCTCGATGAGCCGAAGGCCGGCGAAGTCCTGGTGAAGATCGGTTCCGCCGGCATCTGCCGCAGCGACCGCCACTTCATGCACGGCGACGCCCCCATCGCCATCCCCGTCGTCCTCGGACACGAGGGCGCCGGCACCGTCGTCCAGACCGGACCCGGCGTCACCCTGGCCAGCGAGGGCGACCAGGTCATCCTGTCCTTCGTGCCCGCCTGCGGACGCTGCCGTTCCTGCCTCGAAGGCCACAGCAACCTCTGCGATCTCCACGGGGCCACCGGCGCCAACATGCTCGACGGCACCACCCGCCTCCACGCCGACGGCAAGGACGTCCACCACATGGGCAAGGTGGCCTGCTTCGCCGAGTACGCCGTCATCCCCGAGACCGGCGTTGTGCCTCTCACCGACTCCATTCCCATGGACAAGGCCGCCATGATCGGCTGCTCCGTCACCACCGGCGTCGGCGCGGCCATCTACAGCGCCGAGGTCAAGCCCGGCAGCACCGTGGCCGTCATCGGCTGCGGCGGCGTGGGCCTCAGCGTCATCATGGGCGCGGCCCTGGCCAACGCCAGCCAGATCATCGCCGTGGACATCCGCGAGGCCCAGCTCGAGTTTGCCATGCGCTTTGGCGCCACCCACACCGTCAACGCCGCCGACCAGGACCCGGTTCGCCAGGTCAAGGATCTCACCGGCGGTCGCGGCGCCGACTACACCTTCGAGGTCTTCGGCAGCGGCGACACCACCAAGGCCGCCTACGATATGGCTGCCAAGCGCGGTATCGTCACCGTGGTCGGCATCGCGCCCTGGGGCCAGGAGGCAAGCATCAACGCCGTCGATCTGGTCCGCAACGAGAAGACCCTGCGCGGCTCCTACTACGGTTCCGCCCGCTCCCGCACCGACATGCCGGTCATGGTCGACCTCTATCAGTCCGGCAAGCTCAACCTCGACGACCTGGTCGTCCGCCACTACACCCTCGACCAGATCAACGAGGCCTACGCCGACCTCGACCGCGGCGAAATCGGCCGCGGCGCCATCATGTTCAACTAATCGGTCCAGGTAGGGGCGAACGATCATTCGCCCCTCCGACGCCCTCTGCTTAGCGCTATTCATGGCTACGGAAGCAACGTCAGTCACCACATCGGACCACGTCGCCGCCGCGTGGGATCTGCTTGCAGAGTCAGACCGGCATTTCGCCGCCCGAAATCATTTGCAGGCTTCCGAAACTCTCTGGAAAGCAACCGTCCACGCGATCATGGCGATAGCAGCCCATCGCGGCTGGCCTTGTGACGGCGGCCGACGGTCCCTGAGAACGGTGGTTGAACAGCTGTCCGAGGAAGAAAGTGACGAACTTATCTCCTTGACGTATATCTACGCTGAAAACTTCCGTGACAACGCCCAAACAGACTTCATGGAGCTTCGGGCCTTGGCCTACGACGGCGCCAAAGCCCGTGGCTACATCCGTTGCCTCCTGGCTATGGTATGTTGACGGAGGATCATTCTAGGACGGCTCTAGCTTTTTTAGCTGCATCCGACCGCGAATTTGCCTCTGGACATCACTTACAGGCATCCGAAAAGTTGTGGGGTGCGGCAGCCCACTCTTTGATGGCGGTTGCTCTGCAGCGCGGCCAGCGCCTCGCCAGTCACAACTCATTCAGAGACGCCGCAGAACTCCTATCCGACGAATACCATGACCCTTCCGTAGAATACGGGTTTGCCCACGCCGAAAGGTTCCATCGCAACTTCTATCACGATGATATAGGTGACTACGAACTGGATGTTCTACGTCGCCGCGTTCACGACTTCATCACCGGTATGTCATTGCTCGGTTGAAGAGAGGTAGCTATGCCCCGCCTGTCAATCCTGTCCGAAGTCCAGCGCCAGATGCTGCAGTTCTTCCCCTGCATGGAAGCCGACGGCACCCCTGGTCGCCGCTGCCAAGCCGTTGCGCAACCCGCCCGCCATCGTCACCACCGACTGGCCTCCACCTACGCGATGACAAACCCTTCAACCGCGACCATCCAGCGTCGAGTCCACCTACCGCGTCATCCCCAGCGACTCCGACCCGGCCGACATGGTTCAGAGTCACTTCAGCATCGGCTTCGACCGCACCGCCATCTACCGCGACATCAACATCACCTTCCCCGTCGATCGCGTGCGGGAGCTTGCCGAGCGCGGCGTGTCGGTCGTCGCCCCCAATCACTACTCGTTCATGGGCGCCCTCCGCGACTGCACCGTTGTGCCGAGCAGACCGGACCCGAGGTCGCCCAACGTCTCAAGTCGGAGGGCGTCGACCTCGTGCTGCTGACCCCCACTTGACCCCTCTGTACCCACGCCGTGAGCGTGCTTGCCCGGGTTTTTGAAGAGGCCGGTCTCACCACCATTGCCGTTGCCCTCGTCCGTGAACACGCTGAGCGCGTCCGCCCGCCCCGTGCCCTGTGGGTGCCCTTCTACTTCGGCTACACCATGGGCAAACCCAACGACCCCGATTTCCAGCACGAGGTCCTCGCCGCGGCGTTGCCACGCTGGACGCGGACTCCGGCAGGTCCTAGCCGAATATCCGGAAGACGCCGGCCCATCGGTCTCCCCAGGCCTCTGAGGTAGCGCGTCAACCAACGGTGACTCCGTTCAAGCCCCTCGGACGACGGCCGACGAGATCACCGCCCCTGCTGCGGCTATACGAGCGCTGGCAGGAACAGCGCGGTCGCACCGACTGTCGGCGTCACCGGCATCCCCCAGCGTCGCTTCCGCGGCATCATCCGGTTCCTCGAAGCCTACGCGACGCGACGACGCCGACATGGACGAGCGCCCCGCCGACGTGTCCGTTCCCCAGTTCGTTCGCTACTGCGGCGGATACCTCAAGGCGTTCTGCTACGAGGCCGCATGGCCCAGCGCCCCGACGTCAGCGAAACCGACATCCACACCTGGTTCTGGGCGAAAACGCCGTCGGCGCTCTGATCGACAGCATCACCCAGCGCCTCAACTCCACCGGCGACGCCACTCCAGGCCACGCCTACGGCCTGTCCCGCTAGCGCAGTTCGGCATGACCTACGTGCGTTGGGACAGCATCGGTTGGGACCAGGCTCCCCTTATCACTGTCTTGCGAGCGAGCGCGGCAACTCGACGGAGCGGCATTCGCCCCTACCCAACGGGATCCGCGTCGCTCTTGCCTAAACGTCCGCCGTCCCCGCCGCGGTGTGTCAACAGCCAGGTCGGCGCGGGTAGTGAAATGGCCGCGCCCGCACGGCCGTTGCGCCCAGGCGACACTGGCATCCATCCTGAGGGTTCCACCCATCCGGGAGTGCAACGTCCGCACCGATAGTGATCGTGATCCCCGTCCGCGGCCAGCTGAGCGTGCACCTGCTTGATCAGCTCGCTGCGCACTTCAAAACTCGCAGCCGATCCTTCGCCTGCACGAACAGCCAGAAGTCCACGTGCTCTCCCCGAACGTCGCAATAGCCAAAATAGGCCCGTAATCCCGCACCGATCCCGGATGCTCGGCCAGCCACCCGGTCCATCACCTCATGGCTCACCTGCTCGACGCGATGCAGGTCGCTCTCGTAGCCACGCCGCAGGTCAGGTACACGTGACGGGCTCATCCGGCTGTTGTAGTTGGTGATGATTGTTTCGGCGAAACGGGAGTTGGGTATGATTACCAGGTTGTTGGTCCAGGTCCGGAGACGGGTACTGCGCCAATTTACGTCCACCACGTATCCCGTCACACCGTCCTCCATTTCGATGTAGTCGCCGACACTGACGACGCCCTCGGTTATTACGTAAGTGCCGGCGAAAAGGTTGCTGAGAGTGGGCTGCAGCGCCAACGCCACCGCCAGGCCGCCGAGGCCGAGGCCGGCAACCAGTGGGGTGACGTTGACGCCCAGAACATCCAGGGACAGCATGGCCGACATGGTTAAACCGCAATCATGATGCCGCGCCGGGCAAGAGGCAGCGCCCAGCTGCTCGTGTCAGCCGCATCGCTGTGGGACAACCGGACTTGCATCCACTGCAAGGCTACGGACGCGACGGAGTTGACCAACATGGAGCCAATCAGGATGGCCAGGATTGCGGTGGCTTTGTTCACCACATCATGAACGGTGCTCGACAACGAGAGGGTACTCAGCGCCAGATACACTCCCATCAAAATTATTATGGCTGCAATGGGTGCTCGTGTCGCACCGATCATCCGGACGTCAAAATCGGGGACCGAACCAGATGAACAGCCGCAGCACCCGCCGGAATATAATTCGGCTGAACAGCACGGCTATGGTAATCGCGGCCAACATGATGACCGCGGCGATCAATAGGTCCGTCCACACGGTGCTGGCCGCGATGGCCCATTCGGTTACGGCCTGCCACAAATTTCGGAAGTATTCACCCATTTCAGTTTGACCGATATTCACCGGAGCAAAGCGCCTGCACGATTCGCGGCAGCATATCACCGGACGGTCCGGTCACTACAACGTGCGCGGCGGCGGTGAGTTGCGTGGGTTCGGGATTCACCTCAATTATCCTGGCGCCCCGCTCGCGGGCCAGCAACGGCAGTTGCGCGGCCGGGTTCACCGCCCCTGACGTTCCCACCAGCAGCATCGCGTCGCAGCGCTGCGTCTCCGCGAAACAGGCATCCAGCACCGCCCGCGGAATCGGTTCGCCGAACATCACCGTGTCCAGCTTGATGATTCCGCCGCATTCTACGCACACCGGTGGAACGTCGGTGATGGCGTGCTCCGCCCGTGGCCGTCGCCACCCGCACCCGATGCAGCGTAGGTAGTTGCGGTTGCCATGGATTTCCAGCAGGTGGAGGCTGCCTGCTCTTCCGTGCAGGTCGTCCACGTTCTGCGTGATCACCGCCCTGATGATGCCCGCGTCCTCCAGTTGCGCGATGGCAACGTGACCGGGGTTGGGCTCGGCGTTGTCCACCGCGTCCTTGAGATCGTAGGTCGGGTTGCCCGGCGTCACCTCATCGCTCAGCCTCTGCTCCCACCAGTCCTGCGGGTCCCGGGAGAACACCCCATATGACAAATTGCTCGGCTGCCCGTACTTGGTCCACAGGCCGTCCGGCCCGCGAAACGACGGTATGCCGCTCTCCACCGAGAGGCCGGCTCCGGTCAGGGCGACGGCATACTCGGCGTCGGCGAGGATGGCTGCTGCCTCGGCAACGGGATCAACGGTGGTCATGCGGAACTCGCCTCGCGGGTCACCGCGCCGTCGGCCACGCTGAAGTACGCGGCGCTATTGCCCAACGCTTCGCGAACCGGTCCGACGTCGGTGGTGGTGACCAGAGTCTGACGATACCGGGCGACCTTTTGCAAGACCCTCTCCCGCCGCCGGTCGTCCATTTCCGAAAACACGTCGTCCAGCAGGATGACCGGGTCATCCCCGCGAACCTCGGCCAGGTACTCGGCCTCCGCCAGCCGCAACGCGAGGGCGATGGTTCGAGCCTCGCCCCGGGACGCAAAGGAGGCGGCATCCAGGCCGTTGACAGAGGTCGCAAAGTTGTCGCGGTGCGGCCCGACGGCCGTAATCGCGGTGGCCTGCTCCCGCGCCGAGACTCGCTGCAACTCCCGCTGGAACGCCGAGGCGATATCCTCGACGGACTCGCCGGGGGGTACGCTGGGCAGATACTCCAGCGCCAGGTCCTGTTCCGGCTCTCCCAATTCGCCATGCTGGCGACGGGCGAAAACGGACAGCCGTGCCAGCGCCTCGGATCGCCCGAAGGTTACCACAGCCCCCGACTGGACAAGCTGCTCGTCCCAATACTGCAGCTCTTCCGGGTCGACGTGTCCGTCCCTCCGGCGTCGCAGCAGGCCGTTGCGGTTCCGCAAGGCGGCCTGGAAGCGTTGCAACGCCTGTAGATAGGACCGGTCCGCCTGGCAGATCAGCACGTCCAGGTAACGCCGGCGGTGCGATGGTGAACCCAGTACCAACTCCAGGTCGTCCACGGAAAAAAAGGGACGCTGCGATCCGGCCAACCAGGCCGGCCGCCGTGGCAGGTTGGCGGTTGATCCGTATCTGCTTGGTAACCGGCGGCAGCGTCGCCGGACCTGGACTCGCCGCGTCACTACCTCCACTCGCACCGGACTCTCGCGCCGTCGGTTGGTAGCCGATCACCACGGTGAGCGATTGCCCGTCGACACATGCCGTTCCCGTGATGTAGGCTGCCCCGCCGTCCCGCGCGGCGTCGAAGTTGAGCACCTGCCGCTCGCGTTCAGTGCGGAAGGACCGGCCCACGGCCAGCGTGTAAGCCGCCTCAAGCAGGGAGGTCTTCCCCTGAGCGTTGCCGCCGTGAAACACCGACACCCCCGCCGGCGGCGCGATGTCGACTTCGCGGAAATTGCGGTAGTTGACGAGGCTTAGCCGCGTGATACGGGCCAATGGGCGATCCCCTGACCGCCTAGTGATCGGCGTAGACGTAGCGGCCTTCGATCTTGCCCGCTTTGGCCAGTAGCTTCAGCAGCGTCTGGTCCGCCTCCTGGCCAAACCCTATGGTATGGACCAACATGTTGGGTACCTTGTCTTCCGTTCCCAACAGCCTCAGCAGTTCATTCTGTGTGGTCTCGCTGGACGACTCCACGCAAGCTCTCCCCGGAGCAACTGCCAGTCCCGCCGGACACGGGTCCAGATCTGCAGGATCGAAGGGTGTATACGCCGCATCGTTGCCGCCCGCATCCGACGTCCTGCTGCACACCTGTCCCGGAGCCCCCATCCCATCAGGACACGGCGTCGCACTCGCCGGGTCAATCACCTTGAACCCGCCGTCCGATCCATCGGTCAGCAGCACAATCACGTTGGCTCTACGGGTTTTCGTCTTCTCGTCCAACCCCGCCAGCATCAGGTGGGCATCTTTAACGGCATCGTAGATGTACGCCGGCCGATCCTGCGTGGCCATCTCGTTTACCGCGTTCAACCATTCGGCCTTCGCGCCCTCCGTCTCGTCAAAAGACGCCATCGGCACCAGGGGATCCGTTTCGTCGGTAAAGGTCATCAGCGCCGCGTTGCTGTTCTCGGCGGGCCGCCCTTGAGACGGGTCCACGTAGGGCAACACCACATCCAGCAGCGCTTGCTTGACGATCGGGAGGTTTCCCCCGTCCTCAATGCTCTTGCTCACGTCCACCAGGAATACCGTATTGGTATTTGTCTTGGAACAGGGCCGGTAATATCTCGTTCAACGGTGTTGCCGCAACTGCATCGGACGCTTCAGCGCCCAGAACCGATGGCGCCGCCAGGTCAATCCCATCCTCGTCGGTGAACAGCCAGTAAATGCCGTAAGCCGCCGCCGCCAGGAGGATCAGCGCCAGCAGAATGCCGAGAACTATCAGCAGTTTCCGAAAATCGAACCGGCGCTGCGGCTCTCCATAGCTGATGTTGTAGACGACCACGGTGAACCACGCTTTCGTGCCGAGGGCTGCCGGCTAGTTGTCCCGGGCGCAGCCTTCGCAATAGCCGTAAAAATCAACTCGTTGCGAGGAGATGTGAAAATCCGTGTTCTCGCCGACCGCCCGTTCCAGGTCGGCCACGCCTTCCTGGCCGACTTCCGCATCCACTACCGCGCCGCAGCCCAGGCACACCAGGTTGGCATGGGGCGATAGGTTGGCGTCATAACGGGACTGCTTCTGGAACGGCAACTCCCGCACGATGCCAGCCCGCTCCAGCAGCGCCAGCGTCGAATACACCGTTGCCAGCGTCACGTACGGGAAGAAATCACGCACCCTCTCGAAAATGTCGCGCACCGTGGGATGGTCGGCTGAGTTGACCACCACTTTCGGCAATGGCGAGGCGTTGGGGGGTCAACCTGATCCCCAGCGGCTTCAAACGTGCGACGAGATGTTCCTGAGTAGTCACAATATTGAACTCGAAAAATCGTATTGATGAGCCAGTATATCACCGCGCGCCTGATGGCGTCCGAAGGTTGCGTGGCCACTAATCACCACCGCCGCAACAGTTCGCGGCGCGCGCGAGCCGGGAAAACCCGTCGCGTAACGCCGGGACGCGTCCCGGCGTTGCGCGACCCGAAACACCCTTGTGGGAGAGGTTGTGAATCCTCCCCCACTCATGGCGCCACGATGGTCCGGGTTAGAGGCGTCCGCCCCCACCGGATACTCGCTCATTGACTCCATAGAAAAGGGAGTCCAGCTTGTGGAAGACCTGGATGCGTGAGCGCGCCGTCTCCACCACGAAGATGCGACCCTCGTCGTCGCACTCCACGGCAATAGGCCCCCAGAACAGCTTCTCGCGATCCAGGCCCTGGGAAATCCTGCGCTCCTCCCACATTTCGGGGTTAGCTTCCAGCTTGCCCATGCCCCATTGGGAGATGGTGCCCTCGCCGTACGTCATACCGGCGAAGGAGCCGTCCGGGTGGAAGGCCTGCATCCGGTCGTTGTTCCAGTCGGCCACGTAGATCGCACCCTCGTTGTCCACCGCCACATCGGTCGGGCGATTGAACTGTCCCGGGCCGTCGCCGTGGCGCCGAACTGCATCAGGAACTGCCGTCCGCGGTGAACTTCTGGATGCGATCATTGCGCAGTCGGCAACGTAGACGTTCCATCCCGTCAGCCACTCGACGCCGAAAGGGCATGTTGAACTGGCCGGGGGCCGTCGCCAAGCTCGCCCCAACTGGCCAATGTACTCGCCGTCGGCGGTGAGCATCTGCACGCGGTGGTTGTTGCAGTCAAACAGGTACAGGGTGCCGTTGGCGCCGAAGAAAAGACCAGTCCGCTTGGGCTTGTTCCACTGGCCGTCGCCGTCGCCCGGCCGCTCCCACTTGGTGAGGTATTCGCCGTCCGGGGAGTAGTAGATGCTGATACGGTCCAGGTACTCGTCCGCCAGGTACACGTTGCCGTTGGGACCCACGGTGATCGCGGTGGGCCAGATGATGGCCCGTCGGTGGACACGGAATCGCCATCGCCTGACTCGAAAACGCCCTGCGAACTCGTGATGAACTCCTCGCCCACGGTGCACATGGTGATGCGCTTTCCCGTCGGGCCGGTAGTCAGTAGGAACGGTTGGCGACGTACATCACGTCTTCTTCGCCACGGGCCATTGGCGGTTTGGGGTTGCGAAAACCGGCCGAGAACTCGCCAGGCCAATGGAGTGGCTGTATGCAGGGAATCCGACAGACGGCAGGCCCATGGGTCGATGGTTGTGGTCATAAGACATTCCTCCGTTGCGTGTGGTACGGGTTGCGGCCGGCCGGGCGAATGGTACATCGCCCCGGCGCATCGGTAGATGAAGTTCAACTTCTCGAGGTCCCGTTCACCAGCGGCTGCGCATCCAGACCCATCCAGTTATCCAGCAGGTCCATATAGATGCTGCGGAAGTCGGTTGTTGAAATGGAGGTCGCCTTCCAGGAGCTTGTCCTCGCCAGCGACGGATACTGGCCGTACAACCCGCCCGGCACGTTGTCGCCACACGAAGGCGACGACGCCGCTGCCGTGGTCGGTGCCGGAGCAGCCGTGTCGTGCACGCAGGCGACCAAAACTCGTGTGAAGACCAGACAGCGTAACATGCTTGCGCTGGCTCATGCTCACGCAGGTCGTCATGAAGTCGGCGATGGCGTGGGAGGTGTTGCTCAAAGACTGGCTGTGCGCTGCCAACTCGCCGGCGTGCCGGCGTGTGCGAAGCTGGTTTGTACGGAGCGGTCGTTGTAGAGGACGCGCGTGCGACCCGGCCAGGCTGCACTCTGGGCGAGTCTTCATATACTGCGCGACCACGTCTGGCCGTACTCACACGCTGGAACTGTACGGATCTCGAGCGGTGACGCTGAGGATGTCCGCGCCCTTGAGCGCGTCCGTGCCCGTCGCGACAGGTAGTCCACCACCGAGCTTCGACCAAGCGTCGGCGAGTACATCTTGGAGAAGATGTCCAGTGCCTCGGTGCGCTGGTCTCGGCCTCGATGCCGGTTAGCACGCGTAGGTGGCAGGTTCCCAACCGAGGCTACCGGCACTCCGGGGGCGGCCAGAGCCCGCGGCAACCCGCGACCGAAGTTCACGCCCGAAGCACGTTTCCTTGTTGGGGTCAAGATCGCGAAATGGTGCGCCCAGCCAGCCTTCGGTGCCCTGCTTGTCGGGCTCGCAGGTGTGCAAGATGTTCCATGCTGCGGAAGTGGCTGCGGTTTGGATTTGGCATATCCACGCCCTGGATGCGGAACCTTGCCCTCGTCGTACAGCCTCTTGAGCGGGCCCATGTTGGGGTTGACCGCGACGAACCCATCCAGGTCAGGGCCTGACCCTCCGGCACGCGACGGACGGCCGTGTCATAATACAGCGGGTCCCCGTGCGGCACCAGCGTGTTCAAGCGTCGTTGCCGCCGGAGAGCTGGAGCACCACCAGCACCGGATCTTTCTTCGTAGCGGTCATTGTGTTCTCCTTGTGCGTGGAGATAATGGATGAGGGTGGAACAAATGCGTTTAGTCGGTCGAGGTCGCCCTGGACGCGGGTTCTCCGTTCAGTGAAGGGCATACCCTGCTCTTCCGCTCCTTGCGCCTCTGATTCATTCCGACCAACGTCGGTTCGCAGATGCTTCGCCTCCGCACGGCCTGCTCGCGGGCTTTGCGCTCTCTGCGTTCGGACCAAATTGCGCCGATAACACTCTGCTTACCTCTGTAATGATGGGTGTGATGCGATTGAGGGCTTTGCCGCACCGGCTCGTCATCAATTCATACGGGGAACAAACAAAACAAGGCCCGGTGAAGCATACCAAAACCATAAATCATTTAAACTACACTGATATAAACAAGATTAAAAATCAAACAAAATCCAGGAGGACAAGGTAGAAAAAACAACGACGTAATGGAGGGCCATCCACCCCGTGATTCTTTCGCGTTAGTTGTACCAGGTCGTATTGGAAACTGCGAGAAAGATAGACGGTGCGATTCGGCGAACGGATCACGCGCAAATACTCACGGCATCGCCATAGCGGAATGCTGGGTATTCCAATCCGTGCGTTACGCTCTGGACCATCCGTCCGCGCTTCCTTGTTCCGCATCCTTCGCTCCGGTAGTCGGCTGCCCCAGCCGCCGGTCGGTGATCCGGGGCAGCCAAAACCAAACGACGGTTAGGCGAACTGGTACTCCTGAGTGCTCACTATCAGCTGCAGCGTCTGGGCCACGGCGTCCGAGTATTCCGGTGTTCCCGGGGCCGGGGTCGCCCGTTATTGCCGGTGTAGGACAACCAGCTGATCCCGCGTTCGGGGGCCAACTCATAAGCGCCCACCATCTCAAGACAACCGGTCAACAACGCCCTCGGCGGTGTTCACCTGCTCTTCGCCCAGTCGCGCCACGATCTCGCGCACGCCGGGCAGGCTGGTGTTGCCCAACTGGTCTGCGGCAAAGTTGATCCGCATCCACCAGCGTGCCGGAGTCGATCCACTCGGCGCCGGTGTGCCAGCCCTCACCGTGGGCGGGTTCATCAGGTCCTGCCCCATGTAGCGGATGGTGTTGGCCAGCGGGTGAGGCCCAGCTTCGGCGACGTGAAGTCCTGCACCAGCGCATCGTTCCGATCACCACCTCGGTCGGGCTCTTCACCTTCTCGAAGAGGGCATTCTTGAAGAAGTCCGCGTTGAACATGACCCGCAGCATGGCGGTCAGGTTGTAGCCGGAGTCGAAGTACGTCTGCTCCAGCAGCGCGATCGCTTCCGGATCACGTGGTGGCGTGTTCTGCCAGGCCGGCACCTGCACTTCATCGGCAACGAAGAAATTGTACAGGTGGCGCGATACAAACCGCGCCGCGGACTGCTGACGGGCAATGATTTCAACGATGTCGTCGCCGTTGAGGTTGCCCGTCTCGCCGAGGAACGTCTTTTCTTGATTATCGTGGTCGTAGGGATTGTAGAGGAAGTTCGACTCGTAGCGACCGTAAGGGTAGCGCGGAACGGCGTTGGTGATGGTCCAGCCCGTGAAGGCTCGGGCCGCTTCCTTGACGTCATCCTCCGAGTAGTTGGCCTCGCCGTCCATGCCGACTCCAAGGGAGAACAGCTCCAGCAGCTCACGGCCCCAGTTCTCGTTGATGGCGCCCTTGTGGCTCATGCAGTTGTCCAGGTAGAACACCATGGCCGGGTCGCGGGACAGGCCCTTCAGCAGGACGTCGAAGCTGCCCATGCCCAGCTCACGGAACATGTCCAGTTGCAACTGGATCTGCCGGCCATGCTCGCACTTGGAGTTGCCCGTGCAGAGGATCCCGTGCCAGAAGAGGGCCACCTTCTCCTGCAGCGGGCGCTTGGTGTTGATCATCCGGTAGGTGAGATACGCCTGGTTTACTTCCAGAGCGTTCATTTCCTTCCAGTCGACGAAGTGACGCTCCAGGATGTCCATTTCCAGGTCAGGCTGCGAAATGGGGTTGAGCAGTTCTTCGACGGTGGCTTCGTAGCCTTGGGCGGCGCGCTGTTCCAGTTCGGCGTAAGAGGCGCCGAAACCGGCCCGACGCATCAGGTGCGCCATCTGGGCAATTTCCTGGTTGGTGGGCATGGCGTGTACCTCCTGGGTGACTTTACGGTTTCAACACTGGTAGAAGCGATTAACGGCGGTTACCGCACGTGCGACGCACGATCCAAGCGCGTACCAGATAACCTTTATCGGATGGCCGCATACTACTCGCCGGGCCGTTTGAGTGTCAAGAAAAAGCCCGGCCGGCGCGCCGTATCGAGCCGAAGATGGAACGATCATGAGGACTACGACAGTCCCGCTACCCGTCCGCTGACCCACTCCTGCGCTTCCGGCGGAAATGCCGGTTCCGGCGGAGGTTCGTCGTACCGCGCCACTTGGGCGTACCGCGCCGTGTGGTGCATGGCATTGATGATCGAGCCCAGGTCAACTTCGGGGCCGACTTCGTCCTCCGGCAACAGTGGCAGGGCAAACTTGGGTATGGCTTGCTTTACCCAGAATGGGTACAGCAACGCGTCGGGACGTTCCCAACCACGACACACCAGGACGCGGTAGTCGCTGGCCGGCGGCGGCACCTCCAACGGCATCGGTTCCCAGCGCCGCAGCAGGTCGATCTCCACCAGGCTTGCTCCGCTGGCGACTATCACCTCACGCTTGCGGACATAGCGAAGCCGCTCCCGCCCCGGCGCTTTGTTGGTAGGCGACAGAACCTCAACGATGGTTACCAGTTCCCGGTCGGGCACGGTTTCCACCCGCAGCCAAGCAACCCGAATCTCCCGGGGCATCCGAACGCGCACGCCTCCGGCCTCTTCCGGCGGAGCGGCTACGGCGGTCGCAGCCTCCGCGGTTGCGGTTGGGCCCACCGGAGTGACCGTCGGTTCCCTGGTAACCAGCGCGTCGGGCACCATCAGGTTCAAGCCCAGGGCAGAACCGAATGGCTCTTGAACCTCAACACGCCGGTGCAGGGCGATACGGTAGTTATCCGGCAGCAGAGGTCCGAGAATATCTCGCAGCTGTACAATCAATCCGTCGTGAAAATCCGGCCAGATGTCCCGCCGTTCCAAATACGGATTCATCCCGGGGAATGGGTTGTCGTATTGCATCACAGCCGCTCACGCATCGGGAGAACGTGGCCTCGCCGCCGCCGCGAGACTTGCTAGCCGCCCCGCCGCCGCTTGTGCTGCCTCAGGATGCAATCATCCATCACCACGCCCAGCCCGGCATCCTGCGCACTCTGCGCCGCCGCCTGGTCTACCACCCCGTCCTGCATCCACACGTAGCGCGCTCCAATCGTGACAGCGTCATCCGTAACGGCCCCAGCAAACTCGCTGCGCCGGAACACGTCCACCAGGTCGATGGCCGCTCCCTCCGCCTGCGCCGCCGCTGATGCCGAAGCCAGGTCGTCGAAGGCCGGTTCGCCCAGCACGGTCGCTCCGTTCAGCGCCGGATTCACCGGAATGATCCGGTACCCCTGCGACTGCATGTACCTGGACACTCCGTGGCTGTCTCGCGCCGGATTGTCCGACAGGCCGACCACTGCAATGGTCTTCACGTTGTCGAGGATTTCGTCTATGAGGTCCATAATTTCGCCCTCGGACGCAGGGGCGAATGATCATTCGCCCCTGCCTGCTCCATTCGTTCGCCGATTTACCGGCTGGCCGTGCTGTCACTAGCGGTGATGGTGATGTGCCCCATGTAACCGTTCGCCGACGCGCCGTGCCAGTGGTTCTCGCCGGCCTCACCTGGACCACGTCGCCGACGCCCACGTGATGCTCCTCGGTCTCGTTGGCCACGATGCCGTTGCCCACCGTGATCACCAGTATCTGGTCGCTGCTGTGGCGATGCCAACCCGTCTGGGCTCCCGTCTGAAAGTTCACGACGCTGGCATTGAAAAAGTCACTCTCCCCCTCGGGAATGATCGGCTGACGGGTGCGGTGCACCTCGCCTCCGGTCCAGCCGGGTACCGGCTCGGCGGGTCCCAGCGGCACGTGCTCCACATTGGCTATTCGTACTACGCGCATGGTCTTGCCTCCTGGTGTTTTTTGTGTCGTTTTGGCGTCAGGCGGAAATGGGTTGCTGCAACTGTTCCAGCAACTCCACGTCAGTGTCAAACTCAAGCTCCAATAGCCCGCGCGCGATGCTGTGGGCTACCCTGCGGTCTTCTTCATCGCCGGTAGATAGGAGTTCCCTCACTCCCTCGATGGTCAGGGTACGGTACTCCGGGTCGCGATTGATCCTTCGTCGCTCCCCGATTTTCCAGTCGATTGACCTCGGCATGATTCAACCTCGTCACCGGTTTTGGTAGTCCTTCCACCGTTCGATGGCCCTGGCGATATCCTCGCGCTGGTCGCTTTTGTCTCCCCCGCCCAACAAGACGATTAACGTTCTGTTATCCCAGGCATAATAGATCCGGTACCCAGGTCCAAAATGCGCTCGCCGTTCCAGCACCCCATCGCCTACACTTCGACTGTCCCCTGGGTTACCTTGCTCCATGCGATTGATGATGTGCTGGATACGCAGGCGTACGGGCGGAGAAAGGTCATCCATCCACTCATCAAATGGAATGTGGCCCCTGCGGTCCGCGTATGCGCGGATTTCCGGCATATCACCATTCTAGCACCCGGTTCCCATCGTCACCGCCTCGGCGCTGTCACTTACGCGAAGGCGGAGCCGCGCTTACTGCAACTCCGCCGTTCTGTTCTCAGTTTTACTTCGCCGGCACCGGAATTCCCGCGACCTTGATCGGCGTGCTGCCCACGGTGTTCCGGCTGGTGAAATACAGCGTCTTCCAGTCGTCCCCGCCGAAGCACAGGTTCGTCGTCGCCGGCTGACCATGCACCACGATGCCCAGGGTCTCGCCGCCGGCATTCATGATGTGCAAACCGCCCGCGCCGCCGCAGTAGACGTTGCCCTCGGTGTCCACCTTCATGCCGTCCGGCACGCCCTCCCGCTCGCCGCGCATGTCGGCAAACAGGCGTTGGGTGGCCAGCGACACCGTGCCGTCATCCTGCACGTCGAAGGCGCGGATGATGCCACGGCGGGAGTCGTTGACGTACAGCACGGTTTCATCCGGATTGAAGGCCAGCCCGTTCGGCACCACGAAGTCAGCCACCAGCAGGGTCAGCGTCCCCAGGTCGGCCGACAGGCGGTACACGCCGGAGATGGTCTGCTCCCATTGCTCGCGCGGCCGGCGGAAGGTCCACGGATCGGTGAAGTAGATGCTCCCGTCGGACTTTGACCACCACGTCGTTGGGCCGGTTCAACTGCCGACCCTGGAACTGGTTGGCCAGCACGGTGGTTGACCCGTCGGCCTCCAGCCGGCTGATCCGCCGCCCGTCGTGCTCCGCGGCGATCAGCCGGCCCTGCTGGTCGCGGGTCAGCCCGTTGTGCCGGTTCACCGGCTCGGCTTCCACGGTTACGCCAGAGCCGGGGGTGTAGCGCATGCGCCGGTTGTTGTGGATGTCGCTGAACAGCAGATACCCGCCGTCGCTCCACCACAGCGGTCCTTCGGCCGGCCCCTCGCCGCCACCGAATCCGGAGCCGTGTTCTTCAATGGGTGCGTCACCGTCGATGATGGCATCCAGAGCGGAAGATAACTTTTCGATGGGCATGGTTGCGCCTCCTGATGTGTCCGGCGTCCGTTCCGGCAAACCGGCGACGCCTGAGAGATTTTGGTGCGTGCTTAGGGTTTGACGAAGAGGTTTAGAACCGTCCGGCTTCCCGCGTTATCTGTTGGACAGTTCCTCTGCGTCGCTGATGTACTGGGCCGTTTCCAGGATGCGTCTTTCGGTGTGCGGCCCGCACATCCCGTTGTAAAAGCAGGACCGTGCAGGTAACTAATTCGGGTAAAATAACGTCCCACCAGGGTCTCGGCGTCACGAATTCGACTGGCTAGCTCGAGTAGTCCTTCGGTGGTCATGGCGGTCGTTTCGGGCTCCTCGCCGGTCAGGGCGAGGATGAGCGCGTCAGTGGCGCGCTTGGTGGCACACCAGGCCTTTTCGGCCGCGTCGCGAATATCGCCTTGGCGCAGACGTTCCAGGGCTTGGTCGTGGACTTCTCGCGCGTCTGTGAAAAGCGCGGCGACCCGATCCTGTGCTGGCGCTGTGGTCACGTGTTGGAACCCCCTGCTCGTCGGGGCCTATGTTACCAGTGTGGTGTGGGTTGTTGTATAGGGAGGCGTCGGGCCGGCCATTGCCTTCTACGGCTGGTGTTAGCTTGGCATAAAACCGGAGCCCTTTCGTCTGATCGCCGGCTGGGTATCGCGGCAATACGCGGACGCAAACATTCCCCGGGTCATTTCGCAGCGCCATTGTATGCGCGCCGAACGGGCCGCGCAAACGAACCGGCAAAGCGCTGGCGGCACTCTCCAACCATCGGGCCCTGCCCAAGACCAACTCGCATGCGGAGAATCCCGCTCCCAACGATGTTGCGTGATTGACCGTCGCGATAAGATACTCCCAACCGCATACAGTAAAATACCGACCATTGCACACTATCCCGATTGAGACGGCGATAACGTCACACTTGTATTCGGAGAGTATCTCTTGGCCACCACACAACTTAACGAACACATCCGCTACGAGCCGGACGAGCATCCCCCCAACTTGCTGACCATCGGCGCCGGCGTCCAGGCCGCCGCCGTCATCATCGGGGGGATCGTGCTGGGCGTGGCGGTCGTTTTCCGCATCGCCGATCAGCCCGAAACCTACCTTGCCTGGGGCGTCTTCGCCGCGCTGCTCATCAGTGGGGCCACCACCATCCTCCAGGCCGCCCGCGTCTGGCGCATCGGCGCCGGACACATCCTGGTGATGGGCACCTCGGGCGCGTTCTTCGCCGTCTGCGTCGCCGCGCTGGTCCAGGGGGCCGGCCGTCATGGCCAGTCTCGTGGTTGTATCGGCGCTGATTCAGTTCGCCCTGGCGGCGCGGCTCTCCGTCCTGCGCCGCGTGTTCACCCCGGTGGTCTCCGGCACCGTGATCATGCTGATCGCCGCCACCGTCATGCCCATCGTTTTTGACATCCTGGGCAGCGCACCTGAAGGCACCCCGTCCGCCGCACCGCCGGTGGTCGTCGTCGTGACGATAGTCACCATTGCGGCCTTCGTGCTGCGCGCTACCGCCTCGTTGCGGTTGTGGTCGCCCGTGTCGGCATCGTCGTCGGCTGCGCGGTTGCGGCGCCATTTGGCATGTACGACGTGCAATACGTGGAGGACGCTCCGTGGGTCGGCATACCCTTCGGCGCATGGCCCGGGCTCGACTTCACGCCAGGCATCGAATTCTGGGCGCTTTTGCCCGCGTTCATCCTGGTCACCTTGGTGGGAGCCATCGAGACCATTGGCGAAGGCGTCGCCATCCAGCGCGTTTCACGCCGCCGTCCCCAGGCCACCGACTACCGGGTGGTCCAGGGAGCCCTCAACACCGACGGCATAGGCAACCTGCTCTCCGGTCTCGCCGGGACTCTGCCCAACACCACCTACTCCACCAGCATCTCCCTCGCCGAGGTCACCGGCATCGCTGCCCGCCGCGTCGGCATCGTGGTCGGCGTCATCTTCATCGTCCTGGCCTTCTTCCCCAAGGCGACGGCGCTGCTCATCGCAATCCCCGCTCCGGTGGCCCGCCTACGTTGGCGTCCTGATCGCTCTGTTATTCGTGCAGGGCATGCGAATCATCATCCAGGACGGACTCGACCACCGCAAGGCCACCGTCGCCGGCGTCTCCTTCTGGGTCGGCGTCGGGTTCCAGAACGGCGTGATCTTCCCCGACCTGCTCGGCGACGGCTTCCTTGGGGTGCTGCTGGGCAACGGCATGACCGCGGGCGCGCATCGTAGCCGTTGCGATGATGGCTTCATCGAGTTCAGCAAGTCCCGCCGACGCCGCCTGCGTATCGTGATGGCCGACGACGCATCCCAGGGGTGGATGAATTCCCTGCGCGGTTTCGCCTCCCGCATCCGGTGGAACGCCGAATCCGCCGACCGCCTGGCCGCCGCCGGAGAGGAGACCCTGGCCATTCTCTCCCAGGAGGACCCCGACGACCTGCCTGACGCCGCCCGACGCCTCACCATCGACGCCCGACGCGAGGGCAACACCGTGGAGCTGGAGTTCGTGTCGGCCCTCGAAGGCGAAAACACGTTGAGGACCGTCCTCCTACACTACCTCAGCGCCCTACCCCCGGTCCCCGACGATGGCGAGGTGTCCTTCCGCCTCCTGCGCCACTACGCCTCTTCGGTGCGCCACCAGAAGTACCACGGCCTCGATGTGGTCATGGTCAGCGTGGCCGGAACAGCGTGACGCCATTCACCGCCTTGCCCAGTTTTTGGCTCGTTGCGATAATGGAACACACAAAGTCGTACCTGCACCAGCGTAAGGAGCAATGTATGTGTTGAAAGGATCCTGGTCGCCAGGACACTAATACGATAGGCGGAATACGTCGTTAACGATAAATAAGCACGAGGTATAACTCATGGCTGAAGCGTCCATAAACGATAGCGTTCGATACGAACCGCAGGAAATTCCTCCCAAAGGGGTGACGGTTGGCGCCGGCTTCCCAGGGAGCCCTGGTCATGATGAGCGGGACCGTGCTGACCGTGGTGATCGCGTTCCGGATTGCCGCGCAGCCCGCCGACTACATCGCCTGGGGCGTGTTTGCCGCCCTGCTGGTCAGCGGTATGACCACCATCTTGCAGGCCGTGCGGGTCTGGCGAATCGGAGCCGGCCACGTGCTGGTGATGGGCACTTCAGGCACGTTCATAGCGGTCTGCGTGGCGGCGATGGTGCAAGCCGGCCCGGCGCTGATGGCTACCCTGATCGCCGTGTCGTCACTGTTTCAGTTTGTACTCGCCGGACGACTGTCGTTGCTGCGCCGGATTTTCACCCCCGTCGTCTCCGGAACCGTAATCATGCTGGTCGCGGTCGCCGTCATGCCAATTCTGTTCGGCATGCTGACCCAGGTGCCCGAGGGGAGCCCGAGTTTGCGCCATGGTGGCGGCCACGGTCACCCTGGTCACGACCGTGGCCCTGATCCTCGTGGCACCCGTCAGTGGCGGCTCTGGTCCCCGGTCATCGGCATCGTCGCGGGATGCGTGCGCGGCCGCTCCCTTTGGCATGTACGACGTGCAATATGTGTTGGAAGCCCCCTGGATCGGGGTCCCGTTCCGATCCTGGCCAGGTCTGGACTTGACGCTGGGTCACGAGTTCTGGGCGCTGCTGCCGGCGTTTATCGTCGTCACCATCGTGGGCGCAATCGAGACCATCGGCGACAGCGTCGCCATCCAGCGGGTTTCCCAGCGCCGCCCCCGGGCCACCGACTTTCGAGTGGTGCAGGGCGCCCTCAACGCGGATGGCCTGGGCAACCTCCTTTCCGGCCTCGCCGGTACTATGCCCAATACCACCTATTCGGGAACCATATCTCTGGTGGAGGTCACGGCATGGCGGCGCGACGGGTGGGAGCCATGATCGCGTGGTCCTGTTGGCGCTGGCGTTCCTTCCCAAGCTGACCGCACTGCTCATTGCCGTACCCAGCCCGGTCGTGGCCGCGTCGACAACCGTCTTCATCACGCTGCTCTTCGTGCAGGGGATGCGGATAGTCGTCCGCGACGGCCTGGACCACCGCAAGGCCGTCGTCGTCGGCCTGTCCTTCTGGATCGGCGTGGGCTTCCAAAATGGGGTCATCCTCCCTGACCTGTTGGGAGACGGATTCTGGAGTGTTTCTGCTGGGCAACGGTTATGGCCTCCGGCGCTGTCGTTGCCGTGGCTTTGGCGACCTCATGGAATTGACCGGCGGCCGGCGCCGCCGCATCCGGCTCACGCTGGATGATCACGCTGCTCAGCGGGTCGAAGACTTCCTGCGCGCCTTTGCGGCAAGGTCGGGTTGGGACTCGGTAGCCACCGACCGCCTGGCCGCCGCCGCGAAGAGACCCTGGCCATCGTTTCCCAGGCAGACCCCCAGGACCAAGGCGCGCCCCGTCACCTCACCGTGAAGGCGCGCCACGAGTCCGGCAAGATTGATCTGGAGTTCGCCTCGACGCTGCACGGCGAAAACGTCGAGGACCGCCTGATCTACCTCAGCGCGCTGCCTCCGGTGCCCGACGAAGGCGAAGTCGCCTACCGCCTGCTGCGCCACTACGCTTCCGAAGTCCGCCACCAGAAATACCCACGGCCCTCGACCTCGTAACCGTCAGCGTCGCCGCCACTTGAGTCGAGGCTCACTCCTGCTGACCTGTCCGATAGGGTCTCGCCCGCGAACTGCCCAATGGACATTCTCACTAATACGTCATAGCCGAAAGGGCTCTCACCTGCTTACCAGAGGTAGGCGACGAACGTTCAGAGCAACCCAGCCGTCGGCTCTGAACGATCGCTTGAGTGCGCGATGATGAGCACTTTCACCGATCGCGACGAACAGAGGGAAGCAGAGAATTCGCCAAAGTCTTGACCGGCATCACCAATCAGCCCAGTACCTGAACATGGCGTCACAGCGAAGCGCGGAACGAATACGGTAGCCTTTCATAGGGAATTGGTCGCGAGACAGTGTTCCCACTAAGTTCGGCGTCGTCTCTGTTTTCTGAGGGTCTCTTTAACCCTCTGATGTGGTCGCATTACATCGATCGATGGCTCAGAT